AACAGAGCTGGAAGAGAAGGTAGGTGGCCCAAATGCCGGTCCGGGACTCTTTTTACTCTGCCTCACCAACTCATTTAGAGCTTGGATAGATTATCTAGACAGAAAGTCAATAAGGAAACAGTGGCTTTGACGACACATTAGACCAGATGGGTTTAACAGATACATACGGAACATTCTACCCCCAAACAGCAGAATACACATTCTTTTTCAAGTGTACATGAAAAGTCTCCAGGATGGATCACCTGATAACCCACAAAACAAGTTTTAATAAATTTTAGAAGACCAAAATCATATCAAACATCTTTTCTGACCACAACAGGATGAAACTAGCCATCAGTCCCAAGGAAACAGTTGCAAGAAACACAAACACGTGGAGGCTACACAACATATTAAACAACCAATAGGTCAATGAAAAAATCACAGAGGAAGCCAAATGAAAATGAGGACAAATGAAAACGAAAACACATTGGTTCAAAAGCTTTGGAACGCAGCAAAAGCAGTTCTAAGAGGGATGTTTATAGGGATCCAGGCCTACCTCAAGAAGCAAGAAGACTCTCAAATCAACAACTTGATCGGACACTGAAAGGAAGTAGTGAAAGAACAAACGAAGCTCAAAGTTACTAGAAGGTAGGAAATACTAATGATCAGGGCAGGGGTGAATGAAATAGACACTTGAAAACAAGAGAAAATCCCGACGAGCCTAAGAGCTGCTTTTGTCAAAGGATAAACAAAATTGATCAACCTTTAGTTAGACTCCACACACAAAAAAGGAGGACTCAATACTTACCTGGCAGGAGACTTACCACGATCACAAAAAAAAGGAGGACTCAGACAAAATCAGAAATGAAAGAGAAGTTGCAACGGACATCACAGAAATATAAAGGATTGATTACAAAAGATGACTACAGAAATTATATGCCAATGAACTGGACAAGCGAGAAGAAATGGACAAAGTCCTAGAAGCATACAATCTTCCAAGACTGAATCGAGAAGAAACAGAAAATGTGAACAGACCAATTCCTAGCAATGAAGTGGAATCAGTAATCAAAAAACTCCCAACAAAGTCCAGGACTAGGTGAATTCTGGTCACAGGTGAATTCTACCAAATATGGAAAGGAGGGTTAATACCTATCCTTCTCAAAGTATCCCCCCCACCCCCTGCCAAATGGTAGAGCTTGGAGTTTTCCTATTTATCTAATTTAGCTGGAAGCAGCAAGCAGAGCCCTATCAAACAACTCAAGAATACTTAAAGGAATGTGCCATTTAGCACAAAGGAGAACAGCGCAGGGACGACCTGGTCGTAAAGGAAGGGTCAGAGAGGGAAATATTCATTATGAGGTCTGGATGAAAATGTGGAGGCTGAGAGGAGGGGGTCTGTTCTAAGTGTGAGGACCAGCAAATGTCCCTGGGCATATGAGCGAGGGAAAAAATTGGTGGAGAGCAGGAACGGGGTTAAACAGCAGAATCTTCTTGGCTGAGAGGAGCCATTCTCCACGCTGGGGAATAACTACATTGCTGCTTGGGGAGGAAGGAACTGGGAGGCAGGGGAAGAAGAGGAAAGGAAGGGACTGTCAGGGTCTTATCGGGCATCGTTGGTAGAGTGGAGGGTCTACCAGATTCTGGCGACGAGACATAAATGTCACGAGAGCAATGGCTTTTCTCTGGCCTGTTTCAGTCAGTCGTACCTTCAGTGCCTAGAAGAGTGCCAAGTACACGGAAAAGACTCGGGAGATATTTGTTGAATGAAAAAAAAAATGAATGAATGAGTAAAATATGGGCACCTGCAAGACTGAAGTTCTTGAGCACGGGAATAACGTGATAGAAATGTCCGAGGAAGAATATTTTTGTCAATGTGTGACGGATGGTATCAGTGTGTGAAGGCACAGAGACAAATCGATCAATAGAGTGTCACGATGGAGACTTACGTAAGAATCGCGATCACAGGAAGAGAAAAGACACAGGGCAGAAGGAAGATACAGGGAGGGAAAGGGACATGATAAGGACTGGGATCTGGAAGCACAAGGGTACCTCTTATGGGCCAAGGGAATGCAAACGGACGCTGCAAACTCATTTGGATTCCAAACTGGTGACGGGGATTCGGGAACGCCCTTGTTGGGATGAGCGCCGGGTGATTCATGGAAGTGTCGAGTCACTGTGGTGCACACCTGAAACTAACACCACCCGCTATGCTAACTGGAATTTAAATAAAAACCTAAAAAAACGCGCACCTGTGTAGTTAGATACTAACGTTTCTCTCTTCGGAAATGGAAAAATGGCTCTCGGAATCCCTCATAAAACAACGAACCAAGTGTAATGGTTTTGGTAGGAGACTGTGTTACCGCTTGGGCAAATACAGGGGCTGTTTTTCCAGGGTATCTTTGGAACTATTTTTGAGTTGTGGCGACTTTTCACTCTAAAATAATGCTGATGGAGGAACCGACTAGATTCACAAAGCCGGCTTATAAGTGTCATGAATGGTTCTGTGTCTAACTCTTCTAGCATTCATCTATTCGATTTCATAACCATCCCCAATTACTGCCTCTGCTGGGTTGCTTTCACTGAACCCTGCCATTCAGGATGGACGGACTGATGCCCTTATTTCAACCAAGGGTCAGGAAAGAGACCGAATCACTTTGACGTGATCAATTGTTTCTTCGTTTTTTTATAAGTGAGTGTTCATAACACAGACTGTATTATTACAGAGGCCTAGTTAAAAGCCAAAACCATTGATGTGAATATGTAAATTCTAGAACTCGCAGCACCTTCGATAAGCCAAGGTAACTGTTTCCTCCTTGATTAATGACAGCAAGAATTAAACTGCAGTGCCTGGCATATGGGAAATTGCTGAGAATGAAGAGCCCATATTTTGGCCGACACGCTCTTAGCCGCTTTCGATTCTCCTTTTATTTCATCAAGTTCACACGGAGGAGAGAAAAGGCACTGAGTGATGTTCAGAACAATTAGAGCACCTTTCTTTTTCCTTCCTGTGAAAAAGAGTAACTTTCTTTCCCTTTGCTTTATCCACCAATATCTTCCCCATTTCACGTATTTCATTCCCTTTTAATGAGAGATGTTATGAAAGTGGCCTTTGTCATTACACACACTGACCTCTCCTCGAGTCTAAGGGACAGACGGAGAATGGAGTCTCGCTGTCTCTGAAAATGCCACTGCCCACTGTTGTTCCCAACTCTGCCTCAATACATCGATACAAACTTCATGGACCGAAGCGGGAGATCAAAATGAAGTGTCTTAGAGGCTGGGGCACAATCTTGGGGGGGAAACCGTATGAATACAAATAAATCCTGGGGCACCTGGGTGGCTCAGGTTAAGCGTCTGACTCATGATTTCAGTTCAGGCCATGATCTCCGTTTGTGAGTTTGAGCCCTGCATCGGGCTCTGCGCTGAAAGTCCGGAGCCTGCTTGGGATTCTCTCTCTCTCCCTCTCTCTCTGCCCCTACCCCATTCTCGCTTTCTCTCTCTCTCCCTCTGAACATAAATAAATAAACTTGAAAATAAATCCTTTCCTACTCACAGAAATATCTGTTGCCCTATTCCATCCTTTAATTTATTATGTATCTATGTGCAAAAGTTAGGTGAGGCTTACCTTTTCCTTTCTGCTTTATACCTCACGGTATTACTACACTGATGGTAAAAAGCTCAGACTCTGGAGCCGGATGCCCTGTCTTCGATCTTGGATCTGTCACTTACTAACTAAATGACCTTAGGAAAATTATTTAGCCCCTCTGGACCGCACTTTCTTCAGATACAAAGACAGAATAATAACAAAGTCTATCACTTAGCGCTGCTGAGAGCATTCAACGGGTCAAGAAATATAAAGTGCCCAGGACACCGCGTGATATGTGACGCACTGGGTGTTGGCTGCTGTCATTAGTAGTGTTTCGCATTGTAAGTACAGGATTTTACGAGAGTGCTTTTGAATTACTAAACTTCGGGGAAATTTCCCCTCATTAGAGAAGCAAATAGGCTGTCTGTCCAAAATTTGGCCGATTGAGAAGAACTATAAAGGAGAAAAAGAAACCTCCACTCTGTAATCTCACAACCTAGGGGTAGCACCTCCTGCCAGGGTTTAGCACATTCCCTTCCATCTACCGTGAAGTCCGTTCGTCTCCCTCTGCCACCCTCTGCTACCACCCCTCTTCCAGACACAGAAGAAAGCACAAAATATTTGTATAAAGACATGTGAAATTGGGACACACAAGTGATCAGAAAGCAGGAAACCTGACTAGCGCTCCTTGCATTTCCCGTGTCATTTATGCGACACGGGGCGTCGCACTTAACTGTCCCCTCTTTTTGCGCTGCCACTGAACTGTCTCACAATGGGTGTAGCAAGAGCTCCCCTCTGTGCTCTTTACAACAACGCGGAGATGCCTCCACCAGCTTCTCAGGAGAATGGGCAACTGTGCAAAAGGGGAGAGTGCAGAACAACTAAAGGCTTAGGCTACGGAGGATGTGGCGAGAAAATGTGAGAGGGAGCGGAAGACCAGAAGTGTCTACAATTCCTCCCTAGCGGCAAGAGCTACGGAGAGGTCTCCTCTAAAGTGTTAATTACAAGGCATTCTGGTATTTAAGGGATGTCCTCTGTTATGCATTTAGAGTAAAGCCCAAGAATTACACGATAAACACACGTTAATTTTCTCACTTTTTGTATAATCCTGTAGTAAGCCAAGAGAGAACTCGATCAAATTAGGATAGCTGTGTTCCTCATTTAAATTCACTCTAATGTCTTAATATGCATCTCTCGCATGGTTATAAAACCTCACCATTCTAATCTGATCTGAACCCTCAAGTATCAATCGGCTCCGTACCAAGCAAATGAATGATTCATTTATTCAAAATAAAATGAATCATTCCGAAAATGGGTGATTTACATAAACATATGAGATATTAGCTACTCGAGTTAGGAAAATGAGGCCAGTCTCTCCATTTCAATTCATTTCTGGCTTTTTTTTTTTTTTTTTTTACCCCTGATGTGCTCCTACCTAATGTTGAGAGACTTCTTCCGAAGCTCACTCCACTTGAAGTTCATGGTATCCAAACGTCTTTGCAACAGGGCTGCGTCATCAGAACCTTCCAGGGATCTCAGGACTTTTTGGCCATTTTCATCCAGGTTGTGATAGATATCTGTGTGAGCTTCGATTTCTCCTTGGAGGTCCTACGAGACGGCAGGAAGAAGAACATGCACAGAGTTACCAAGCGAAAGAGATCGGCTAAATGTGATTTGGGAGGAGTGTAAAAAATGATTCGTTCACAAGACACTTGAACTGGGTCAACTAACAAGACGATGCACCCCCAACTTCCTCTTCTTGTTGTATTATCTCTTCGTGTTATTATGGAGATCGGAAGTGGGCATCTTATTAGATATAATCAATTTATTCCATGACGTTATAAATTGGAACATTATATATCTGCAACTTTACACGTTTCCTAAGTTACATCCACTAGTCCGCAGACAAAAGAGAGTGTTTTCTGGAAGTGATAAGAAATAAAATTCCATGACAAAGTGCACCCCAGGGCCGATCATTTCATTACACTATGGGTTAAGTCATATTTTCCATGCACATAAGTAATCTGTAGAGTTGATTGTGACCATAAAAGCATGGAGAGACTAATAAACAAGGTTGTACTCGGTCCGCAGCACCAGCACGTTAATGGGATTCTATCATAGGAGAGCATCTTCTTGACAATGCACATTAAGTTCACCTTGGCATTACAGCATCACACATTTATTATAGCGTCATACATTTATTAGTAAGATTTCCCACTTAAACTACCGTCGTATTTTTAGGCTTGACAGGTAGAAAGCCCACAGGACCTTGAGAAGCGTTATGATAAGAGATTATACATTCAACCTCATTTGTATATACACAGATCAAGAAAATTATCATAGTAGAAGAATCTGACCTTTACATGGTATGTCTTCCTGTGTAACATTTTCAGCTTGAACCGGGGACTACAGCACTGATCGTGTTGCATAGCAATCCTGAGAAAACCCAGCGACTGAAAGAGCCCTGCTTTAAAATGCCAACTTTGCTTACATTCTGTTGACAGAATGAATTTCAGAGCACAGGCCTCACCAGTCAATAATAATAAACAGCCACTTTGTACTCCTCACTAAACGGTGGCCAGGCCTGTGGGTGTGGGAGGGACCTCAGAGAGGAGGCCTGGAATATGCAACTGACAGTTTATATGAAACAGCCAACTTTTCTTATCATTTTGCCATTATAAGCCAGAGACATTAGAAATTCATTTTCTATATGTGTTTCCCTCCTTGTTCCCAACAGAACGGTCAAAGCCAAAGGAACATTCCTTAGAGAGCTGCCGGGTACCAGCATTCCTTTCTGCCCACACAATGAATGGAGCCTTTGTCCATTATCTGACTTGCTTTGAGAGATTTGTATGCTTCTGTTCAACAAGTTTAAAAATTCATTCTGAAGCTCCGAACAATTGGATTGATCTGTGTAACTAGAAACTTTTTTTTTTTTTTCTGCTCTCTCTTTCTAAAATGGAATGAAATGGCTCTTCTGAAGTGAGGGGGGATGTGAGAGCAAGTCACGGACTCTTAGATGCCGACTTCGGAATGTTGAGAAGTAAGGTAGATGGACAATGAATGTCCCTGTCACTGTTTCTGGAAGTCACGAGGTGGCGGTGGGGGGGGGGGGGGGGGGGGTATGGATAGAAGCACATCCAAAGTTGAAAGAAGGGAAAGAGTCCAACAGATCGAGCAGCATCTATCTCTATCCCATCAAAGAACAGGCTTGGGCTGCAAGGAAATTGCCTGATTTCGAGACCAGCTTACGTGGTGAATTCGCCACTTCTTCAGGAAAAGAGAAAAGTGATGTTAATGTATCTAAAGAAATCAGGGCTCAAAACCAAACAGACCCGAGTCATCCACAGAATTCTCCCCACTTCTCTCTTTTGCTTCACTTTTCCTCTTGCTGTATTTGATTCAGAACTTTGCCTCGGAGTACCCACCTAGGGGACGGACACCAAACCTTTAGTTGTTCAAGAAAATGAGGTCTGACCAATACAATCAGCTTTGTGCACCAACATGCATATAAATGATAGTTCGTCTGAATTTTTCGATCCCGCGCTTAGAGCAGACACCGAAGCTCAATCGATAGTTCCTTAAGATCATGTAGATCGTGAAGTCATCAACACCTTCTTGAATAAATGAGCGATCGTCCCAAGCATAAAGAGGAAGGTGATTCGTAAGTCTGCTAATTTTCATCTTTGCTATTTCCGTTATGCCACCTATAAACATCTTTGTTGTATCATCAAAAAGATAAACACATGTAAAACCGATGCACCCGTATTTACTGAGGACTGGTTATTTGTCTAGTCTTAGCACGGTGGGAAGTAAGAGGCACGCAAGAGAGAGCTCTGCCTGTACGTCTCCGGAAATCTAGCGTGTGCTTTCGAATGAACTCCTTCATATTACCAGCTAAATATTGATGGGAATTTCCGGCCAAATCTCAGAGGTGTTGGGATAAAAACTGCTCCCCTTGGAAGTTCGGAAGTGGCTGAAGTAAAAGTCTTGGCACAGGCACGAGGGAGCTCCGAGCTTGCACCTCTTCTCTGGGTCACCGTGCTGGTTGAGAGTGACAAATGACACAAGAACAGTAATGGGCTTTACGGTGTACAAAACACTTACAAAGGTACCGCTTTGTTCTTCCTCCTGGCCCTGTGGAGTATGTGTTTTCTCTGTTTTTCCTATGAGAGCACCGAGGTGGAGAGAAATGTAACTGACTTGCCTACAGTCATGTATCTTTTAAGTATTAGAATTAGAGTTCTTTCGACTCTGGAAGCTCTTGGGCTGCCCCTCCCCGCCCCATTTGCTACGAGCAGCGCTTGTAATAGACAGTAGTTATTGAAGCTGAACGAGGCTGTTCCTAACAAGGTGGGGAAAAGCAACTGTTGAGGGAAAAGCACTTAGAAAGTGGACATTCCTGACTTCGATCAGAAATGTACCCGCATGGATTGATGTGTTCCGAACGGAAGATGGAATCCTGACCACCGTTTTCACTTCTTATTTGGCAGCTGGGCAGCTGGGACCCCCTGTGAGCAAAAACCGTTTGGGCCACAAAGGGCTCCTGCTGCAAACTCTCCTTGCTGCCCGAACAGAAATTCTCCCTTCAGTAACATCACACTAAGCAATGGCCTGACACGTCGGTATCGATGCAGCCGGTCCGTCTCCTCTTGGGACGGCAGGCTGGTAGGGAATTTGTCAAGCCACAGGATGCGGGTAGGCTGCTGGAAAACAGAGGTGAGCGTTGGTGAGGAACACAAGGCTTTTTTGAAAGGAGGTTGGCATGCTGTAATGGAGATTTTTTTAATACGAGTGGGCAGCACGACTCCTAGGGGGGAGGAGACATTGACAGGACAGGTAGGAAGGAGGACACCCACACTTGCCTAAAACTCCCACAATGGCATTTATCTTAAGAGGGACCTTAGACTCAGGGGCCACAGAAAAGCAGGCGGCGGGCGAAGGCTCTCTTCTTTTTTTGATGGTATTCTTTAAAAAGACCAATAACTAAAGAAGAGGGAAAAATGCCCAAGGTCACACAGCTGAACAACCACGGGGCCAGATTTCAAACCCAGGCTATTGGACCCCAGGGACTGTGCTCTTAACCACGAGGCGATGTTACCTCTGAGGTTTTTCCTATTAACTAAAAATTTTTCCCAATTATTTTCTCCTGTTAATAACACGACGAAGTGTTAGGAGTGTTAGGAGTGTTGCTTAAGTTTCAACAAACCTCGCCCTGCCATCAGACAAGGCAGAAAAATGCTTTCGGCACCCCAAGAGTTCATTTCATGGTCTTAATAATATGGAGACTATTAAACAGAACTGAAGCAGTGGACAGAGATATCGCCAATACAATAAGAGAGAACATCCAATCATTGAGAAACCGGGTGCCAATAAAATAATAATTTGTTGCCTCCCCCACCAAAGGACCACAGAGCCTAAAATTCTGTGTGATCACAGAGGAAAACTCCACTGTGACCATCAAGAAGGCCAGCTGTAAGGCAAGCAGTACATTCACAGCGCAGAGGCTTTAGGAGTGGAGAGAATCTTGTTTCCTGGAGAGCTGTTTCAAATCTTGCACTCCCTTCTTTTTTCTGAGAGTCTGGCCTCCTTCTTTCCTAAGTCCCCTTTCTCAGCCTCCGGGGAAAATTCATGGCAGAATGCAGTTAAGTAGACCTAGTTTGAGTCTCCCCCTTCTCTTTCCCTTATTAGCTGCCTAAGTTGAAAAACTCTTTAATCTCTTTGGCTTTGCTAAATATTAAATAATAATACCTACCTGCTGGGTTGTTTTGAATATTACATGGAATAATTTTTGTAAAATACTTTTAACAGTGTCCAGAACACAAAAAGCCTTTAATAAGTAATAGCTAATATAAGGGTTTCTCTTGGAAGACAATCAGTGTGGAGGCCAAGTGATAGAAATAGACTTCATGAACTCATGGGACTTGGTCTGAGCCTTGAAGGATGGATAAGACTGAGAGAGGTAGAGGGAAGGAGGTATTCCCACTGGGCAGAAGACTGTAAGAATGGCAAAAGGGGGGGAGTGAGTTTGCTTTATGAGCAGGGACAATGAATTGCACAGCCCGATGGGAAGCCACGATGTGTGTTCGGAAGAGACAGAATGTAGTTGAGGTCCGGGGCTCCTGGGTGGCTCAGTTGGTTAAGCGTCGACTTCGGCTCAAGTCATAATCTCACAGTTTGCCAGTCTGAACCCCCTTCGGGCTCTGTGCTGACAGCTCGGAGCCTGGAGCCTGCTTCGGCTTCTGTGTCTCCCTCTCTCTCTGCTCCTCCCCCGCTCACACTCTGTCTCTCTCTCAAAAATAAAATAAACCATAAAAAAACAATAAAAAAAAAGAATGCAGTTGAGGTCCTTACACTAAGTAGGGTGGAGGCCTTCTTTCAGGAAGTCACTGAGAATAAAAGTTTCTAAAGGAAAGTAGACAAGCACAAGATTATGGAATATTAAATTTGTACTGTCTCATTCAACAAGTAGAATGATCCACAGTGTCCCTAAGTAATGAGATGATTGGAGAAGAAGAGGAGAAGTTATAAAAGTTTTACTAGAAGAAAAATAAAGAAGAGAGATGTCAAGAATGAGTTAGGACTACACCCTTCTTATTATATCCAAA